GTTGAAATACCTAAAGAAAGGAGAAATTGAGAATGAAAAATGCTGGGAGAATGGAAAGAAAATGATGCAAGAGTATGTGATGTATTGTGATGATAACGGAATGGGCAAAGACAATTTCTAACTGTGCTGGTGTAGCCTTATACAACAGAAGAGCATTTGTCTCTCCTTGCACTGTGCTGGCACAGGCACCGTATACTGTAGCATTCATCTCTTGCCACTTTGTTACCAAAGCTGTACTAACAAATTTGAAGAAATACAGGGAAGATGAAGAACAGCTACTAGAGAGAAACTAGTGAAGAAATACTGCTTAAAATAAACAACCCAAAACCCACCCCTACACCCAAGTCTGAATCCTTACCTCACCAAAGTCTGGGGCTTAGCTGCTCCTCTTCCTCTTTTGGTTCTGTGCTGTAATGAAGCAGTTTCTACCTCTGCCACTCAAATTCATGCGAGAAGAGCTCAAGGTCTGTCTCTGCAAGGAGCAGATCTGTACTCAGTGCAGATGGCAGAATTCATGCACTAAATGTGATTAATAAGTAAAACTCGGCTGTGATTTCTAGTGTGGAAAACAGCTTTGATCACGTTTTAAAATTATACTGGAAAGACCGAAAAAGTGATCCGGTTTGTTGTTTCCTAAGTCTATAATCATTATCTGTAACAAATTGACTAAGGCATTTACAGTCAGATCTATATGACTCAGGAAGCAATCAGCAATGTCAAACCTGTGTTTGTTAGGTGTTTTTTCTGTAAAGAAGAATGAAAACCTAAAGAGCTTTCTGAACTCAGGAATAGGTCATTGCAGGCACTAAAGTAGAGAGCATGGGGGAGAAGGCAGAATTTTTAGCATTCTCTCATGTATACAGGACACAAGAGAGAGACACACTAAATAAAGAAACCTTTGTGCTAGATAATAAAGTTAGTCATTTTCTGAGATACAAACCCAAACATTGTTAGACCAAATACAAAGAAATTAATAAAGCTGAAGTTTGACAGCAGGTAAATATTTGGTTTCCTGAACTTGATATAATGTTCAAGTGTCATCATGGATCAGATTATCATTTCAGACAGATACAAATGAGGAACAAATTAATATAAATCAAGATCATTAGCAGAAGTGAGCTCAAGGTTTTATACAAGCACTTTGATGTTTAAAAGGCTCCTAAGGCCATTTACAAGCTCTGGAAAGAAGGTTTTATCACTGAAGAATGGCAGATGTGATGAGGGTTTCTATTTTATTCAAGCAGGAATAAATTACATACGAGAAATTCAGTCTCTTTTCACTCTGTGTTACATCATTGTATGGCTGGGATTTACCTTAACATAGTTACAGATGATGTTCCAGCAAAGAATGTTTTGTTTTTAGTGAAGTATTGCATGGGAGTTTCCTTCTTATTCAAATTCTTTAATTTGGAAGTGTGATGATCCTGTGATTTCAGCAGATCTTTCTCAACTAGCAAAGCAAGTTTACAAGCAGCTTTCTTCTCACTGCAAAGGGGTTTTGCCTAGAAACCATCACTACACAGAAGCAGATTTGAGGTCATAAATGTGTACTTGAATGAAGTTTCTTTGCAACTGAAAGAAAAGTGCTTTACTTAGTTAAGTCTGTTTGTACGTGCTTATCTTTCAGCCTGTGCATAAACCTCCTTTGTAAGGCAGGAAAGTTAATGCCAATAGTTAGATGCTTTCCTGAACTGGTATCCTGAGCATTGTATAGCGAACACTTTTTAACTGTTTTGAAGCATTAATCACAGATCTCTTTAAAAATAGATATAAGGGGAAAGTTGGAAAGTGAACGTACTTTATATGTGAAACCTATTGGCAAATTCTGAACTTCTGTGCACACCCTTTGTACTTCTTGGAAATAGATTGGTCTGAAGCGAAGGGCTTGCTATGTTCTGCCTGTCTAAGGTTGAAATGTTGCCATGTGATTTTTTGATCTTGATTAACACTCATGACACAATCTGCTTAGCAATGCTGTGAGGTTTATGTATTCTTTATGCTGAGATCATTGGTATACATAAGCATACTTCTACTTTTCTTTTGTGTTTTGCTTACATTCTGACTGTCACTTCATATGCTTGTTTTGTGTGATATCTGTACATGCCTCTTATTTTTTCTTAATCCAAAATTTGAATTCTTATAGAAGTTCTTGACTGAGCATGTCTTTTATGTGTTATGTCAAATTTATGCTTATACTGAAATACTTCTTGTAATCGAAAAAATTTGTCTCCAACTACAAATGCCTATTCAAATTGTTGTTTCTGAAGCATTTACTATACGCACTTACTCAGAGATTGTTGTGGTATCAAGTGAAAAACTTCAGGTTTTCCCCTGGAAAATCAAATTCAAAGAACTAGTCCTTTGTATTACATTTTCTCATAGTAGTATGAGCCACATAAAAGAACCATTACCTAATATTCTTCTAAACAGAAGGTGACTACATTGTCAAAGACTGCTGGTGAGTAATTGCAGATAGTGTTGCCAGATTGTGACTAACTGGGTACAAAATTTTAGATTAAATCATTTACAAACTAGTAATGAGTTTTCAATGCAGCTTTTTTCCTGTATTCTAAAATACTTAAAATGGACTTCACTTTATATGTGGACAAAGTATAGCTGTATTTATTTGTAAGCAAATGCAAAATGGTCTCTTAGAGTAGAAGTGCTACTTTTTGGGTTTGGGATGACAGCATCATTCAGAATGATCAAAAGGAAATGAAGAAGTAAATGATCAGATTCCACAGAAGAGAATAAAGGAAACTTAGCACAAGGTGGTGTTGTTTACATCGAAACTTTGTGTAGCTGTTGTATTTTATATACTTTCTCAGAAGGCTATATTTTTTTCTCTCTGTGAACATGGGGTCAATGGTGTTGAATTTTTGTGATTACTATGACACTTTTGCAATATATTTTCATTTCATTGTAGAATTCTTTTACATGTGACAAGAGAACATGTCTGGTAGGAAATAGTGATGCAGATGAAAGGCTTGCAGTAGTATTTTCAATATTTTCATTTTTGTGAAGACAAATTTATTCAAAATTTTAGGTGATGTGGGCTGTGTGAGTTTTTAAGGTGTGTTCTGAACTTGTTTACCCACGTTCAGTCCTACTTTTCCTCAACTACCTTTGTTTCTGAACCTACACTGGGCACTTAGACATATTACATTTAACTTTGAACTGGTTAAAGATTGATTCATAGGGTAAATAGCAGGTCCTGGCTTTATTTACCAAAGATAAATATCAGGGTATTATCAGCCCCCTGGGTGCATAGCTAGGGGATCCCAGGTGTATCTCCTAGTTTGAGGATACAGCTCTCCTAATGCAATTAAGGACTGTGTTTGAAAAAGGAAGGCAAGACTTCAGTCTTCCATGTTGTGTGGTCTTGCTCTTTCTCCCTAAGAACCAAGTTCTGTAAGTCAGGAACCTGCAGTTACTGCTTTTGGTGGTAATCATTTCTTAAGACTACAAGGTGACAGTAAGTAGAAAGAAAAATCAGAAATTCGGTAGAAATTCTGATCAGAAATTCATCAGAAATCAAAAAATAATGTTGTGTGGGAGAAAGAAAGAAAACACTTCATGTCTGGATTAGTCTAGTGTTCTCGTGAAAATTTCCTACACAAATCCAGCCGAATCTTCCAGTCATAACATGGGATAGAGTATGAGCTAGAAGGGCCTCAGACCTGCTGGGACTTGCAGATAAATATGCTGGAAGAGGAGTCCCCATTAGGAACAATCTCACTGTGACCCAACTGATATTTAGGAAGTGCAGCATTTTCTGCCTCTGAGCTTGTGTGTGCCAGAGATTTCCTGTGTGGTCCCAGGATCCAGTGAAGTACCAAAGTTGCAGGGTGTCATTGGGCTCAGTTTCGGTGCTGCAGGAGCACCCATGTCAGACTTCTGCGTAGCACAGAAGTCAACCCCAGAGGGCTTACGTAGCCCTTGCAAAAGAGCCATTCCCATTCTGGAGTCTCATTTTAATCGCTTCAAAAAGATAAGAAGCTGAAATGGTTTGGTATTTTCTCTACTATTTTTACATTTCTTCAATCTCTAATTTCATGTCTCGTGTGTGAAAAGGTCTGGGCTCAGAATTTTGCAACTAATTAACACCAGTTAACCACCTCGCACAAACCAGTTGTATCACCAGTACCCTGGATGCTAATGCCGCTCTAAGTAGAGCTGCAGTCATAACCTTTCTGCTGGTTGTTGCCATCTCTGTGCTAGAACAGATTTCAGCAGCCAGTCATTCTTCACCGTAGTCATTATCTGGATACAGTCGGTCTAATAGCCTATATACTGTGTCCTTGTGAAGTAATGCGGTAGTGTGGATTTCTTTCCTAATGAATAAGCATTTGTCATGTAATTCCATCCCTGAGGAATTATCTCGCGTAAGGAATTAGTGCAGCTGAAGAGACATATGGAACACAGAAGGCCATTAATTCAGAGACCCTGTTAGAGCTCAGGTGGGGTACATTGCAATTTTTCCCTATTTATTATACATCCTAAGGTATAACAACAAAAAAACCCTCAACCTCTGTGTACTAGTCTAATGTGGTGAATGTTCATCAATTATGTACAACAGTGATACAGGTCTTTCACATGGGAATGCTACTGGCCTAGGGGAAAAATAAGTTGAATAAAAAAGCAGTGAGAATTATCTGTTCGTAGAGTTTTGCTTTGTTAACATCAGAGAATATACGGCCACAGTGTTCAACTGCCTGGTAGGGACCATACACGAATAGCTTCTAAAGTAATGGCATTTTGGCTGATTTTTTTTTAATTATTTTTCTCTCTCAGTAATGAATCTTTAGCAGTACTTTAGCTATCCAGCTTCTTAATTGAATCATGCTTTGATTTAAGATCATTGTAACCTTTATATTACTCGAGGTTTTTTGATTGCATTGTGTATAAAAGAAACAAGTCTGACGATACAAATAAATTGGATGCTGGGTTGCAAAGACATATAGCAAAATCCAATCTTCGTTTCTTTTGTTGCATCCTAGGAGGCTTTTCAATGGGAGGTGGAATGGCAATGCATTTAGCATATAGGTTTCATCAGGATCTGGCAGGAGTCTTTGCTTTGTCTAGTTTTCTCAATAAAGACTCTGCTGTTTACCAGGTGAGTGTGTGGTAGACTTTACAGAAAAACTGCTTAGCTAAAAGAAACACGATAACTAAAATTGAGTTTAGCATGTTTATTCATCTGAGGCAATTGATTAATATTCTAAACTTATGACATTTCCTGGATATAGATAAGCAGAGTATTAGGGAAGTGAGGCTTTAAAGCTGTCTTTACATGATGTTTTGTTGCTTTTTTTGCACAGACAGTACGATTATTTTATTCAAAGTAAGTCCGTGTGAAGGCAGATTAACAAATGAAATGCTTTACAAGTTGTCCTTAGTTGTTAGAGAGCCCATGTAAGTGTAACTATTCTTTGAAAATTTGTGATGAATTATAATACTCATGGGCTCCATCTGCTGTCATGAATTTTTTTCTATTTCCCATATTTGGAGAGGGGTATAGACCTTAAAGTAAACCCTATCATTTGTCAGGAGTTAGCACACTGGAATTTGAAGTGCAGTTTTTTCCAGTATTTCCTTGTTTGCTTTTGTAGAAATAGTACAATATGACCAGTAAAACGCAGGTTAATAAATGAAATGCTATGTAAGTTGTCACCATGTAATTGTAACTATTCTTTAAAATGTTTAGTGATGTGTCTGACAGTGTTTCTTCTCCATCTAGGCTTTGAAAAGAAATGAAAGTGTTCTTCCAGAATTATTTCAGTGTCATGGAACCGCTGATGATCTAGTTCTGTACTCATGGGGTGAAGAGACCAACAAGATGTTGAAGTCACTGGGAGTATCAACATCACTTCATACTTTTCCAAACCTTAATCATGAGTTAAGCAGAACTGAAATAGAAAAACTAAAAACCTGGGTTGTAAAGAAATTACCTGTTGAAGCAGCAAAGACAAATGAATAAAAGAAGATGCAGCTTTCATATACTTCCTGACTTTTGTGGTTTTAAGATCATGCGTGGCATGTATATGGGTTATATATACATATATATACACACACATATACGTTATATAAGCACAGCTTCAGGCAGACACTGTTGTATTCCATAAAGTTCACTTAAGTGGTGAAATGATGGTGCTGACTACTAACACTCATTTTATCGTATGGGTTTCTTTTTCTGTTTTCTTGTCCGGTTTTTAAATACACATCCACATCAGTCTGTGGAAAATAATGACTGATAATATTAAAACCATTCCTAAATAATCAAAACAGTATTCAGAAAGCATTGCTCTGAATTTCCCAGCTACCTTTTTCTTTTCTTTTTTTTTTTTTGGTGTGTTTTCTAAGATGGAAAAATATACAGTGGTATGGTTGTCTTTCTAATGGCATTACAGGAGAAAAAGGCCAATTATTAAAATAATGGACTTTTACTTGTAGAAATACATGCATATATTCAAATTAGTTCACTGAGAGGAACTGTATTGGCTTCGGTTGGTTTCTCGGCATGTGGGAATGAACCTGCCCCAAAGCAGAGTTGTATGTCACCTCAAAAAAATAACTGAGGTTTGTGTTACATTTTTAAAAGTCATAAGTAGCCGTGTCTACGTATTACCACAGGCTCTTGTTATTACCCATTCTCATTATTTTGTTACTCAGAGATCTAGCTTTGTGTGTGTTGTTTGAGCCCTGTGAGGATTATAGTGTCGTTTTTTTTTCTAAAGAAAAAAGTGCCATCATGATTGTTAAGATCCTGTTTTTGAAGAAATCATTCTTTGGGCACTGTTCCTGTAGAAACTTATTTTTGCCAACAGTTTTATTTTGGTCTGCAAGATCACTTTTTAAATTAAAAGATGAGGATACTTGACTCCTCTGTGAATATGTAAGAGTTGTAAGTAATGATTGTGATATAAAGAAAACTTGTATCCCATTATTTTAATGGTGGATGATTCATCTCTGTGTCAGTTTGATAAGTTAACTCAGAGTATAAATATCTATTCTTATGTAATTTTAATGCTTTTTTTATTCCCCCCCCTCTGCCCCATTTTCTCCTCCCCAAATTCAGTAATTTTATTAGCATGACAAGGTATTCAACCTTTTGCCAAAGACAATAGATCCAAGTCTCTTGCTTAATCTTCTCCTTCCCCCTTTTCTGAAGAGTGGATCTAGGACACTGTTGTTTGCTCTGTCACAGCAGATTGCTGCCAGTATTGGCTATGACTCCAGAAGTGTCGGCCAGCTCTGGGGGACTAAGAGTTTTGTTCGAATCCTCATGCACCGAGACCTAAGCCAGCTTTTACCTATCTTGAAGAATAAGGGGAAAAAATGTCACTGTTCTAGTACAAGGCATGTAATTGGCAGTAGCAAGTAACAACTTCCTGCTGCTAAAAATATTTTGCTTTATTTCATTTTGGTAGCATTAGCAAGTCAGCAGTCTGTTCTGAAAAACAGGATTTTAAATGGCACATGAAAACTCAGCTATTTGAAACAGTAACTGAAAAGCATTTTTTCCTGGTGCCCTAGGCTTCCTAATTACTACAAATTAAATTGAAACAGGTGTGTTCAGAGGCAGCTGAGCTAACATTGCCTTGGCCCAGCTCTAATTACAATCCTTGACAAGTGAAGTCGTAGCATTTTAGCGATAATACATCATTTTGAGTTTTGCACCATTTTCTGCTCTTCCTGCAGTTCTTATCAGGAGGCTATTTGAACCACTCTTGCAAGGTGGTAATTCATTTTGGTGACAAGTGCATTCAGATGGGGAAGTGCCGGGCTCCTGGCAAGGTGGCTTTTAACAAGGTCAGAGAACAGCACAAAACAGTTGAAATAAGATCATGGAGGGAACAGAAATTATTACCAAGCCAAACCCAGTTCTTCTGATTGGTTTTGCTGTCTCAATAATTGCAAATACAGTGGATAGTTTGGTTTCATTCCCTTGATATAGGCTGAGAAGCAATTACAAAGGTCTGCATTTCATGACATTCTTGGAAAACAGTGAAGTCCCCAGCTTACATCTGTTTTCTTCCATCTTCCTCGTCTTGTGAGTGAAATGCCAACTAATCAGGAGATGCATTGTGACGTAAGATTGGAAATCTGTCAGTTGTATGCTGTAAAGGGGTCCCAAATCTCAAGAGTTTTGAGGTTACTTTGGGGATGTTAGAGAACTTCTCGGTAGTGTTTTCCTTCAGTCTGCAGGTAGCTCCAGTGAGGACAGCGTGACTTGCCTAGCCCATTTGCTGAGGATGGTGTGGCTCTGTGTCCCAGCTGGTGCCTAGCTCAGGTTGGACAAACAGATTGAAGTTTAGCCCAGAAAAAGTTGGACTGCTGGTTGGTATTGAGAAGCAGCCAGAGGCAATATTAGTCCTTTAAGACAGTGGGCCTGCTGTTAGATCTCTAGTCAAATGAAAACTTTATTAGTCAAAATTAGCCCAGCTGCTTGACAGCATGTTTCAAAAGTAATCCAGATAGGTTTTTGACTGACTGGGCTTTTTTGACCTGGACCCGTTTTACTACACTTAAAAAAAATTCATTTTCAAATTGATACCGGAGCACAGGGCAGGGTTCCTTTGCCAAAAGGGCACCTCAGCAATGCTTATGGCACTACAGCTCCAGGATCCACCTGTTGATTGCTGGGTGGAGTCTGAAGTACTTCGTAGAATGTTGCAGGATCAAAAAGAGTTTCCTATTGACTGAGTGGTTGCACGTTGTTGGGACAGAGTCACGGTAGCAGGTGCCAGGGCATACAGAGCCCTGAACTGGTATGTCTTATCAGTTGTATCTAGATTTAGATGAAGAAAATGGAAAAGAATGCAACTGTTTTCATTCATCCCTAATCTTTCACTCCTGATATCTTTTAAGGGTGTTTACGTATCATAGTGAAGATGTTAAGGGGATAGATTCCATGTGCTCTTAGGAGGAGCAAACTCAGGGCTCTGTCTCTTTTTTTTTTTCTTGTACATGGGCTTTCTCCTGTTTCTCTCATAGACTGGAGGAGAAAAACATGTTTGAAGATACAGTCCTGTACATCATTTTGAGGAATAAATTGCAAAATTTCAGTGCCAAGCATGGCTCTGTATCACTTGAGCCATTGAAGATATGAGAACATAAACTAGAAAGAAGGCGGCTCTGTGCTGTGCTGATCCAGAGGAGGCAGGAGCAATTAGGTGGCATACAGTTTATGTTCCTACTGTAACTCTTTCAAGGTTGTTTTTTTTCTTCTTTTTGTATTTTTTTCAAACTTAGAAAAGAGTTTGGCATTTAAGTACAAACTTTTAATACCATTTAAAAATGTAACTGAAATAACTGAGTGAGTAAATCCATTCAGAGTGATGTTACTTTGTTGGAGCTTGGTACTGTTTTGGTGAAAAACATAATTCAGTAAGCAAAAGAAAACTAGTTTAAATTAAACTTTAACTCTCTTGGGCTCGGTTAGTGTGTTCCATACTGCTTCAGAAACAGCGCTAGTGTTTGGACTCTTTTTTTTTTCTTTCTAATTTTCTGCCATGACACATTTGTATTTCAGATGTTTGAAATTTGTGACTAGATCATTGCTGTGAACTTGGGTGCCTTCTGAGTAATTAATGTGCTAGTACAGACATATAGAGCCAGAGAACAAATGTGAATAAGGCAGAAATCAGCTGATGAATGTGGGAAGCCAGAAGTCATTGGTAACGTAATTTTGACATTAAAGTAAGAAGTTCTCAAATTAATCTCTTCTCATGTTAAATCTTTAACTCTAGCTTTTTTAGTAAATCATCTTTAAAGCCATTTAACAAGTCTTTACAGATGAAGTGAGCCAAGTGGGTGAATGTAACTTGTATTTATAAAGATGAGATCCAGATGGCAAAACACGGAAATGGGAACCTAATGGACAATGTTAGAATAAAATTTGTTAAAACATAGATGGAGGAAAGCAATAGGAGTTTACTTTCCAGCTGACACACGTTGTAGGACAGCTGAGAAGGTTGTCTGGGAGATCTCAGAAGAAAAACCTATTCTGTGAGTTTACCAACTTGAGTCAACCTTCATTTGTGATGCAGCTGGTTAAAGGTGCTCTAGAGAAAGGAAATAAGACAATTACCAATTCATGCAGTTTCCTACTTTTGTTTGTTTGTTTGTTTTCCAAACCTCCTTCCATTGTGGGAACCTGACATCGCTACTCAGAAGAAACAGCAGCTGGCAGTTTTATTTTCAATACCAGATTGTCTGCTCAAATGTTTCTCTATACACTACAGTGGGACTTAACAGCATCCTGTTCATGTCTTGGTTACCGACTAACCAGTAGCACTCGCCCAGCATGTGGGAGACAAGTGCTTTTCCCGTACAGAGCTGTGAGTGAGAATATTTGTCTTTACAAATGAGAGCCAGAAGGAAAAGGCAGTGGTTTCCCCACCCCCATTCTGTACTTCAGTGGCTAGTGTTAGCTAAAGATGTGAGACACCTGGATTTAATTCCTCTGCCCATCTGAGCATGTTCACCTGTGTGCCAGGCCTTAAAATGTTACCTGTATAGCCAATTTATCTAGTATCTTTTTAGTATAGACTGTATCATCATTCACTAGAACAGAGAAGGTATTCCAGATTTTCCTTTGCTTAGGTGAGTACCTGCAAAAGAGTTATGCTTGTTCTCCATGTCTCTCTTAAGGAGTGTTTAACTGTAGCGGTTGAAGTAGAGAAGACAGAGCATCCTGCGTCAGTCTGCTGATCACTAGCTTGAGTAATTTCCTGCAAGTGTGCGATACTGACCTGCACTCTCTCAGGCAGAGGTGGGAAATGAGCTTGTTCCCTGTGTCTTGGGTGGGTGCTGTGTTTACTGAACAGTTAGATTAAAAAAAATTTTTAGAAGAGCGAGTGGCGTGAATCTAGTAAGGCCCCTTATTCCCCAGGGCACAGCGGTGAGCCTGGCTACCTTCGCTAACCTGCCGTCATTGAGATAGGTTTTGTGAATTTGACTTGAAGTACAGAAATTCCACTCTTGTTAAGCATGTGAGAGCTGTAGACACTGCTTTGGTGAAGAGGCACCTGAAATCTTTTGTGGGTTCATTGTGTAAATCTGTAGGCTCCTTTGAAAACGCAGGCAAAAGTTTGTTGCTCCTTATTAACTTAAGTTCTCAAAAACAGTTGTGTAATGAGTGTTAAACATTATTCTTGGATCATTAATTGCTAGTGACAAGGAAGTTAGATTCCTGAGAACAAAGCCAATGAGACTTTGTAACCTGGGCCTTAAAACATAGTGAAGACAGTCAAAATAGACCAGAGAGTATACTTACAATTTTTCCACTACTTCACAGGGCCGGTATTTTGTGGTTGGAGGATATGTTGCTCAGGGTTCTTTAAAGTGCTTATTGTTTTCAATTAAATGCAACATGAGGGAGTAATAATCTAATACTCTGAAGCTCAGTATAAAACCATAGAAGAATTAATTGGTTGCTTGTGCTCTCTTGGTGTAATTAAAGGTGTTTGTCAGAATGTACACTGGTAGACATCAAGCACATCAGACAGTAGTTTGAGTTAAAAAAGCCATCAAGAGATGTTACTGTCATGTAACTGGCCTTTAAAATATGCAGAACCAAATCAGACTGCAAGGCTTACCTGCTGTCAAAGTTGACCTTAGTGTAAAAAATCCTTTCTGGAGTGCATTTCAGCCAAATACTGATATTCAAGCATGTGAACAACCTCTGCTGCCTTAAAGCCTATGGCTCCCACTGATGGATCT